GGCAAGTGCGACTTTGAACATTACATGACATTTGCCAACAGTGCCCCGATCACTCTACATCTGGCTTGCATCACTTCCTCTCAGCCTTGACCTGTCTAGTCTGATTATACTGCAAGCGCTTTGGGGGCAGGGACTGTGTATTCCTAACCATTTGTACAGCACCTAGAACCATCCTGATTGGGGTTCATGTGTGTATTTGCAATAAAAATATTAACTAACAGTGATTCATAATTTTACATCCGGGAAAACAGTCACAGAGAAGTTAGTGACTTGTCCAAGGGTACACACAGTCTTTGACAGAGTCTAGAACAGACGCCAGGTCTCCTGACTTCCCATTTTGTGTTCCGACCATGCTACCTATGTTAAACTAAATACCAGGTGTTACCAAGTTCAATGGCCTCTTCCCTCCACACCCATCAGACACTGATCTCCTTCAGTCCGAGCCCTGGCCACTACAGATTAAGAAACAGGTTGGAACATCTGGCAAAACATGCAAACTCAAACTGAAAAGGGTAAATATGATCCTCTAACACCTCTCAGGTCTAATTCAGATCTCATCTAATGCAAGGGGGGCGGGGATTTGCAGAGCATAGGAACAATAAAAGGGATATCACAGGAGCAGTGGTGTGTGAGAGCCAGGACTGCTTTCCTCTTTGTGTGACAGCAGTGTTATGTTACCCAAACACTCCACTTTGCTAATGCATTTCAGGTGATGCCCTTTGTACAGAATCACCTCCATGGTAATTATTAAGCACTGGTATTCAGTAGAACAATACCACAGGCATTCTGACAGACAGGACCAGATCTTCAGTTGGTGTAAATGGGTGTCGTTCCATTTAAGTCAATTTACACAACGTGAGGACAATCTTGGGACAGATTCTGCCCTCAGCAGCACTGGGATAATTCACTGACTGCAATGGGCCTGATCCTGCCCCAGTGCACATCTGGACTAATTCCACTAAAGTCAATGGATTTACACTTGTGTAAAACTAGTAGGAGTGAGACCAAAAATCAGGACTTGTCTCCAGCATGCAGAAGTTATGCTTTCACTGGTCTACAAACTAAACGAGGCATGTAAACGCAGGGGGGATGGCAGAGATCTGCCCCATGCAGGTGTTTCAGTTACCGGGCTCTTGCTGGTCTCCGTGTTTTGTTTTAGCCAAGACTTTCCTCTACCCCTCAGGAGAGAATAGTTTAGAAACCTGTATTTCCAGTCTTTGTAACCGTACTGAAGCATATGCCCATGGAATATGTACTCATAGGCCAGGAAACTGAACACAGCTGAGGTCCTTTGGGCGGATGTATTTAAAATGATCTCAAGTGATTAAAAGCTCCTACCAGGGGCTGTAATAAGCGATGATTTAATAATACCAGGAAAGATTATGATTGTCTACAACTCTGGGTGATAATTATGTTCTGCAGTCCTGAAATTCCTCCTGCAGTTTCAAGTGAATAGATTCTTAACTTTTTTGTCCTGAACTGATAGTTGCTCTTTAACAGTTGCCACGTTCCACCCCAGAGAGGGTTGCATTTCAGAGGTGGGTGAAGTACTCCTTATACCACTTCTATGTATGGCACAATCTTGTCCTTGTGGGTAGGCTCCATGCTGCAGCGGGGCGGTGGAGGGAAATGAGAACAGAGCAGTGCATTTTGCATGTCAGTTAGAGGAGTTATTTTGTCAGTGCTGGAAAGGGAGGGTCAGGGTGGCCAGCCACACTGAAAAGGAAAAATGTCCCTCAAAACTCTTGATCTAGAGCCACATCTGAATGACCTGGCCCAGCTCTAATTAATGTATCCTAATCCCAACACCCGTGGATGTAGGGGTCACGTGGATTCAGACAGCATTCTAGAACCCAGTTTCCTGGGTCAGGAGGATCTCTAGGCTCAAGTCATGTAAATACCACCTCTACCCCTTTGTGGTGACACAGCCAGGCAAGGGATAGCAGGTGATGAAAGGAACACACAGAGCTCCTTGTGTGAAGGAGGGATGTTTGCCTTTGTTCCATTGCAACAAAGGAACACAGGGAGGAGAATTTACATAGCTATTGTGTTCCCTGGCTGGGGACAAACGGGAACATGTTATCAGCCAAACCTATCTGCTCTTCTGATTTGCATTTTGGAAATGTGACTGACCGCTGAACTTTCTTCACTCCAGGAAACAAAATGGTCAGCAGATCAGTCACCCGTTCTGCAAGGCCTCTGGAAACCACTTCCCCTTAGTTCTCACCAACACCACAAGAGAGACAGGGTGGGTGGGGTAATCTCCCTCATTGCACCAACGAGTTTACAAGCTGGAAATATCTTGTGGGTGCAGAAGTTGGTGCAATAAGAGAGGTCCCCACCCACCGTGTGTCTATAACAGGGGTAGGCAACCTATGGCACGTGTGCCGAAGGCGGCACGCAAGCTGATTTTCAGTGGCACTCACACTGCCTGGGTCCTGGCCATCGGTCCAGGGGGCTCTGCATTTTAATTTAATTTTAAATGACGATTCTTAAACATTTTAAAAACCTTATTTACTTTACATACAACAATAGTTTAGTTATATATTATAGACTCATAGAAAGAGACCTTCTAAAAACGTTAAAATGTATGACTGGCACGCGAAACCTTAAATTAGAGTGAATAAATGAAGACTTGGCACACCACTTCTGAAAGGTTGCCGACCCCTGATCTATAATATCCTGGGACCGACACAGGTACAACAACACTGCATACTACCACAAGAGGGCAGTCTTACTCCACTCCGCCTTTAGGCATTTCCTGCACTCCTAGATCATTCTTCATCTCTGAGACCCAGCTGACCATGAGGTTGTTAGTAGCCAATTATGATTATTCCCTCGGTTCCTCAGCACAATTTGGAAAAGGAAATCCCTGTTATTAATTGCTACCTGACACCCAGACAGCTTCATCCTCCCCTCACGGAAGGGGAATAAGGGATTAGACCAAGCACGCTTACCCAGACGAGAACACAACCATCAGGGGAGACACCAGCCCAGCTCAATCTTTAAAGGTAATGGAAGCAATTCGGGCTTCCAGGGCCTTGAGTGAAAGTGTCCATGGCTCGCCAGCGCAAGATTAAGCAGTACGTACAAAGCTATAGTCTCCCAGTTGCAGGTGCAGCAGAGAAGCAGGCGACCGATCCAAAGAGAGTCACTCTGGAAATCAAACTGGGCCGCAGTAGGAGTGAGCTTTCCAGCAACACGCTGTGTTGCTAATTCAGAGGGAAGGGGTATGGGCTGCCTCTAGTCCTCTGCCCCGCAGAGGAAACAGGTGCAGGCCAAAAAGTCTTTTCTGTCTGTACAGGATGGCTGAAATGCGAAAGGCCATGTCGGCATGCAGGCAGCGCTCAGGTGTGCAAAGGGAAAGCAGGTGCACGGTCTCCAGAGGAGAATATCCTTCAAAATCATTCTCAGCTCATGGGTACTTCCAGGAATCTCGTGGCATTCCAGCAAGGTTCCAGGAAGCCCAATCCTGCACCCTGGGTGGTACAAGGAACGCTGGGTCGGGCTTAGGAGTCACAGAGATTTTACATAGCAATGGCACGTTGAGGTGGTAAAGATGGACACAGAAAGGTCAGTGGGGCCAGAACTTGCAAGGTCTCTACATGTCCGACTGCCCCCGAGATGAGCAAGAGTCTGCGTGCACTGTGTTTGCAGGACTGGGTCCGGGAAATGCAAAAGCTGGGTTAATAGTTGCTTTATTTTACCAGAGCAGTGCAGAGCTACTGGATCAATTTGTTCAACGGGAGCACCCTACTGATAGATGGAAAATGTAGCTATGAACTATAGAGCACAATTAATGTGTCCGTATTACCATAGTACCCAGGAGCCCAAGTCTTAGACCAGCGCCCCATAGTGTGAGGTGTTGTACAAAGCAGAATAAAAGTGGCTGTACAGAGTCACACGCTCAGTGGAGTTGCAAGTGTCTAACTGAGAGCAGAATTTGTCCCACTGTGTCTATATCCCCCTATAAATGCATGTATATTAGAATGTTCTTGGAAGCCAACACTATAATGGAACACACAGCTAGACTTCCACTATAATCCCGTAGTTTCACCAGTTTATAACTTTCCTGTACATTTACCTTTTGGGCTGAAACTGACTGGTGTGACTCGGGTGAATTTTGTTGAATTGAATCCGATTGGTCAGCTCTGAATAGCATGCATCGGTGACACAATACTCTTTCCCCAGTTTTTGTAAATTGATTTTATCTGGACAAGTCACAAAACATCTAAACTCAACACAGCAAACCTTCGCCGACAGCGAGTTCTCGGTGAGGCAGAGTCACTGACAGGGTTGGAGGAAAAAGTTAATATGCAATTTGCAAAGTGCCACCTTCACACATTCACATCAACAGGGGCTTTTGCTTTTTCGGAATAGTATTGGGCATCTCCATCATGCAGCGCAGCTTAATTCTGTGTTGCCACACATTGGACAGCTGTATAGAACACAACCAGGTTTCCCCTACATAGAGAGTGCTGCTCTTTAAACATACAGAGAAGGGAACATCTGCCTAGTTAATAAATACAACGCCCATGTCTATAGAATTTCACTGGTATGCCACCGGCACCCACTTTTCTATATTTTCATGGATTCCAGCCAAGAGGTGAAATCCTGTTTTGATCCATCCTCATGTTTCCCTTAGCCCTGTTTTTAGATGGCTGGCTAGATCCTCCATGCATGTCACATCTCTCTCTGATTTTGGGTATAACTTTCTGCAAACAGCACAACACTGCTATTAGAGGAAGCAAATGTAAACAAAAAACCCCTCAAAACAGGCTTTACTTGGAGAATTTAATGCCTCTGTGATTGACGTGCGATTTCGATACTGTGCAGTACTGGAGTTATCTTTGTATGCCACGTTTTCAGGTGGCTCTTCTGATTGCTTACTATCCTCAGACTTGTATGCTGCCATGTTAAGTCCTATATTCCTTTTTTTAAAATAGTCAATACCACTTCCACTAATGAACGCTCGGCTGCAGAAGAGATTCAGCCCTTACCGTAAATCCGATGCCCACGGTGGCAGAAAAAGAGCCAGGAATGAACTTGCCCTGGTCAAACTGAACCAGCAGTGATGTCTTCCCCACTCCACTGTCTCCGACCAGGATAGTCTGTAAGAATCAAAGAGAGAGCCATTAGCATCCCCCCGTAAGTGACTCAGGAAGCTGAGAACTGCCTTTGCTGTCTGGGCCTCTGCAGGCTTCTCTGATATATGTCCTCTGCATGCTGCATGGGGGAGATCATGGCAGTTCCGTGCCCCCTTTTCCCCACATTCCTATAGCTGGGTTATTTGTTGCTTGTGACGTGCCTGGATCCCTCTGAACACATTCTGAGCTGGTGTAAATTGCTGCAGCTCTGTTGAAGTCAATGGAGTGATGCCAATTTCCACAAGCTAAGGATCTAGCTCCTAGGGTCTGATTCTGCCCTCACGCCGGCTTTACGCTAGCTTGACTCCAATGACTCCTTTAGAGTTACTCCTGATTTACACCAATGTACGTGAGAATCAGTCTCACGGCTTCTCTGAGGGATCCAAGCAGCAGCAAACACCCAAGTGCTGAGGGTGAGGGTATCTGACCCAGCCGACTGTCGTTAACCCTCAAGCACCAGGGAAATGGAAAGCTCTGTTCCGAGTCCTTAGCCAGCACTCTGGGGCCAGAGCTCACTTGGGATCACTGGGCTCAGGAGACTCACTGCCAGTCATTAGGAGTTGGGCTCCTGAATCTCTAAATCCCTCTTGGGACTTAGCCATCTAAACTGCCTAGGGCTTGCAGTGCTGAGCAGCACAGTGCCTCAGCACGTGTAGAAACCGGGGCCCAGCACCCTCAGCTCCCACGGACTTCAGCTCCGCCTTGTCAGTGCATCGCAGGAGGTGCCTCGCACCGCCCGGGACCAATACTGCGAGTGTGTTAGCCACGAGTACGGCCTGGGCAAGTGACAATGAAGTACAGGGAAGGAGTCCCATTGACTGCCATGGGTGCTGGATCAGACCCCCAGGGCTGCAGCCCATTGGAGTCAATGGGAGTTTTAGGGGGAGCTGGATTATACTGTATGTGAGAAAAGATGCGGGTGTGCATAGGACTTAGGGCGTATGTGGGTGTGTAAAGAGTCTTTCATGATCATGCTAGCTCCTCACATCCTCATATTCGCCAGGGAGCCCTCCTCCCTCCCTTTGAAATGCGCCCCTAATGCCTCTGTTCTGCTGCGGCCCTGCCACTGTACAGAGCCCTCCTTTGTTCCTGACGGAAGGGTAGAGCTGAGCAGGGCTCATAAAACAGTGGGCCCTGAAGCCAGGAGACCGTTACTTTCTTACACCCCTGTTCCTCTTTCCCTCGGCACAGAGTTATGTGAAAATCCAACCGCATCTAGCTATGTGGTCACAGCGTCTGATCAACAGCTTTCATATGCAAATAACGGCTCCTGCTAACACAGAGCCCCCCCCCAGAGGAGCTGGTCAGCCCGACTTCCTCTTTCTCTGCCTCTGTGATGGGGAGCCTATTCCCCATAGCTCTCCTGGTGAATGCCCAGTAATCTCAGAAATACCTGAGTTCCCACATGAAAACCATCCAGTCCCGCATATTAACCGCACAGAGCAGCGCTACCCTGAAGCCAGCCCTAGAGATGGAGAATTATGATGGCTCCCTGGGCTTCTCTCCTTTCAGATTCAGCGGGAGGCCACCGTCCCACAATAAACTCCTACCTCATGGCCTGAGAAATGTTACGAACAGAGCCCCTCATTTAAACTGAGCCACTCTCCCTGGGCCCTTCCTTTTCTCTGACTCTCACCAATGTGCTTCCTGAAAGCATGGTTCCACTCTGGAAAGTGACCCCATAAAAATGCGGGGTGCCATGTTTGCATCCATGTTTATTCCAATATTTTTTTCCCCAGCTGCAGTCCCTGCAAACTCAACCTAGGATTCAAAAGTCAGGCTAGATTCTCTCCTTCTTGCATATCGTCACCAGTAATAAAAGTGCTGCCGGCCCTAATTTACCCCCATGCAATGCCATCATCTTCAGAGTATATCCTCATTTATGCTCGATGTAGTGTATATAATAGTGTAGTATCCCTTTAAGTAGTTTGTGAGCCCTCTAATGATGCTCACCATGTTCTGTTTTAGAAGCCACCAGAGCCCAATTGGATCAGCGGTGTGTTTATCTATAGCTAGGCCTCTAATCTTACGTACATTCAGCAAATACAATTATTTGGTCCCCACTGTGCCCATGTGCTTCCTTTATTTTGTTTGTTGCCTGACCAACAACAAAACACCCAACACCCAGGTAACCGCATATGCAAATAGGTTTGCACAGGTGTAACTGATTGGCTCCTGTAATGGGAATTTAGCATTCGTTTCTGGTGGTGATGCAAAAGGAGGAATAGAATCCAGACCCCCAGTGCCCCGCCCCTTAGCCGTGCTGGCTTGGCAGGGCTAACAGGAGTAAACTAAGGCCTGGTCTACACTACGACTTTAATTCGGATTTAGCTGCGTTAATCCGAATTAACCCTTCACCCGTCCACACTACAGAGACAGTTAATTTGAATTAAAGGGCACTTAAAATCGATTTCTGTACTCCACCTCGACTAGTGGAGTAGCGCCAAAATCGATTTTGTTAATTCGAATTAGGGTTAGTGTGGCCGCACACCACCGAATTAATGTGGTTAAATTAATGGGGTAGTGTGGCCACACACCACCGAATTAATGTGGTTAAAAACCGAATTAATGTGCTTAGTGTGGCCGCGCACAATCGAATTTATACAACCTGTTTCCCAAATTCGAATTATCTAAATTCGGATTAATCCCGTAGTGTAGACATACCCTTAGTAGTAAAACCTTCTTTTTGTCACTAAGGTCAGCACCTACAGCTCTGACAGTGGAAGGAAGAAGGTGTCAGTTTTACATGCTCTCTTTTTAGAGCAAAACTGGATGTTAATGACACCACTTAGCTCTTATCTGGTGCTTTTCATCCATAAATCTCAAAGCCCCTTACAAAAGTGGTCAGTGTCATTATACCTGTTTCACTGAGGGGGTAACTGAGGCATGGGAAAGTGAAGGGACTTGCTAAAGGTCACCCAGCAGCCCAGTGGCAGTGCCAAGAATAGAACCCAGTTTTCCTGAGTCCCCATCCAGTGTTCTGTCCAATAGGAACTGAATCAGGGAGAGCAGGGACTTGAAGCTAGTGTCTCCCACGCCCCAGGTGAGTGCCCTAATGCCCCCCCCCAACCCAGTTGTATTGCAAATACACTTTATCACATCTCGGTTTCATTCTGTTGCAGAATAAACACAAACGTCGAAACCTCGACATTTTTTGCAAACTGGAATTTTTGTTTTGCGGCCAGCCCTAGTGCTCCCTCCAAAGGCACCACGCAGGATGGGACCCGCAGGCAGTACACGTTTACTCTGAAAAGGTGCATCCCATTTTTAAATGAAATTGCTTCACCCAGGTTCCCACCCCTTTTGTGTTTGCTTTCCATGAAGTCGGGAGTGGTAAAGATTTGAAGGCACCAATTTTCTCAGATACTGAGCTCAAAGTCTTATGGGGGAGCATTAGCAAAAACTGAATATTACATATGTGCACAAGAGTATTCGGGCTGGAAGTGGTTGCACACTTATCCAATCAGGGACCAGAAACAATATGATGTGACTTATCTGATCAACCACAATACAGCTCAAATAACCAATATTCACAGAGAACTGCCCAGGGTCAGGCTAAACATTTTCAAAAATTACCCCCCAGGATTGGATACTGGATAAATGAGAGGAGATTGCAGCCTGTTTGTGGAATATCCAAGGGGGTGGGGGGGAACTGGCCACATTCATTATCAATTCTTTTTTCAGCTCTAATAGTGAGTGTAAGGTAGGGAAAAGACAGAAGAAAACCTCAGGATCTAAATGCTCCGGTTACATTTATTTTTCACTTTCTGGCCTCTGTTTAAAGCAAAAATGGACCCCAGGCTATAAAATCCAGATCTGAATCCAAATCTAGATTTTTGCATTCTCACAAACTTCGAGGATGGTTGGATCCAGGTTTGTGGTTCACTCCATTACAACGGGAGGGGCAAGCCACCCAATTTGGAATTAGATTCCCTTCCAAAAAGTCAGAGTGGGAGCTGGAACTGAGGCTTTGCTTCCAACCTGTCACTAATTGAAAGGGAAGCTGCATTGTGAACTTCACTTATATTGCAAAGAGAAAGCCACAATTTAAAAAAAACAAAAAACCTTACATGTAATAAAAATAGTTAACAGGAAAGCTGCCGTTTCAACACGGCTCGAGAAACAGGAAGAACAACTCAACATGTTGTGATAATATTTGGCAATTATACAGTGCATTCCATCTTCATAGCACTGCACAATCGTCTGCTGGCTTAGCCGCACAATCCCCCCTCCCACCGCCCCAGTTCCCCAGGGGTAGGAAAGTAACTATTATCAGCCCCCATTTTACTGATAGGGAAACTGAAACATTGAGATGTGACTTGACCAAGTGACTTGATCAAGGTCACAAAAGGAGTCAGCCGGCTCAGTTCTCCCCTGTATCCATGCTCCACTTGCCACGGAAGAACCAAAGTGACTTCACACAGCAAGTCAGGGGCGGAGCCAGAACTCAGGTCCCAGCTCAGCACTGTAGCCACTAGACCATGCTGCCTCTCTGCTGAATGTTGTCAGATGAAGCACAAAAACGACTCACTTGCTCTAACGAAGGGCAGGTGAGGATGGCAAAGCTAATAATACATTAATAACCCATTAAAGAGAGGTGAACCACCATAGCTGAATGGGTAATTAGCATTTGGCATGGTTGGTGTTTTAGGTACATCCAGAGTTAAATAGCAGTCCTCCACTGCCCCAGGAAGTGACTGACTGAAAGAACAAAGCAGAAGTGCCTGGGTATCACTTACTACAGACACAGGATTTGCAAACCCGAGAGAGAGAAATGTCCCAGGCTGGAAGGAACCAGAGCTCTCTTTTTAGAGCATTTTAAAGAAAAGACGTCACAGAGCTTTAGGGAGAAAGGGTCAATTGGAAGGATAATGCAGCTGTCCTTTGCTGGGGTGATTCTCTTCCTTGCAGGTGAGAGGTTTCAATTGATCCAGTCACACCAGAGAGCCCCTCTGAAAGGGGAGGGATAGCTCAGTGCTTTGAGCATTGGCCTACTAAACCCAGGGTTGTGAGTTCAATCCTTGAGGGGGCCACCTAGGGATCTGGGGCAAAATCAGCACTTGGTCCTGCTAGTGAAGGCAGGGGGCTGGACTTGATGACCTTTCAGGGTCCCTTCCAGCTCTAGGAGATAGGTATATCTCCATATATTATTAAGGCTAATCTACCTCCCAACCCACTGAGAGCCAGTCTCCGTCGCTTGCCTTTCAAAAGGAGAGAGGCTAAGGGGGTTTATTGTCAGCTCTCTACTGGGCATTTATGCTGGGTAACTTTAGCATTAACACTAACGGGAATCACCCACATACAACCCCTGTGGAGCCAAATGAGACCTTCCCCCTCTATTTCTCTGCTGGTGGGTAGCACACTGCATGGTCTGATAGGGACCAGCTGGGGGGGAGGGAATGGGGCTCCTTGGGGTGTTGAGTTCAAGTTGCCATTCCGCCTCCTCAACCACCCAGTGAAGAGGAAATGACAAGTTTTGCTTTTTGATTTGTTTTTCAGGCTACTCCTCTGGGCTGGCTGCCCTGGAGCTGACTGGCCCCGGGGAGGTGGGCAGGCCCCTGGGCGAGTCGGTGTCTGTGCAGTGTCAGTACCATGAAAGGTATCAAGGAAATAGGAAATACTGGTGCAGAGGAACAGTTTGGAGATCCTGTCACACAGCTGTTAAGACCACAGGGTCAGAGGCTGAGGTAAAGGGGGACAGAGTCTCCATCAGAGACAACCACAGGCTGCGCACATTCACAGTGACCATGGAGACCCTGACGCTGGGAGATGCTGGGATTTACTGGTGTGGGATAAGCAAATTTGGATTCGATCCGGGGGTTCCCGTTAAGGTGACTGTTCTCCCAGGTGAGTGTCTGCTCAGATCTCTGCACGGCTCCTACACTGCGAGTGAGGGTGACTGGGGGATGGGTAAGAAAGAGAGACGGGCACTCAAGGGCAGGATGTTCATATATCCCTACCTGTCCCCAGAGGTGATTTCCTGATCTGACTCGCCCCTACTGGTATTGCAGTGGGCCACGAGCAGGTCTGGAAGAGGCTGTCCCTGTGGGCATGCTTGAGTCAGAGTTTATTGTCTGGGTGGGTTTTACACCTCCCGGGCAGCCACAGCAGCTCACTCCCCCGGACCAGCTCGGAAGAACCGGGGGCACAACTGCAGCCCCATGTTGACTAAGGGATCCAGCAGGGAGCTTCCCAGGGTTGCAGCGGCTCTAACCAGCACAGGAGCAGAGCAGTAGCAGAGGGCAGCGAACGTTGCCTGAAGCTCCTGATCCCCATTGAAATGTGGCTCTGCTCTGAAAAACAGCTGGAAAAAACCCAGCCCCTCGATGGTCTCTCAGGGATTCCAGGTCAAACACGCTCCCTTTACGAGCACCAAGATGTCAGTTTTCCAGCTGTAGCCCCCTGCAAACCTGGGATCTGAGCGCCAAGCTGGGCTTTCCCCTTCCAGCTCATCATCACCAGGACTAAATATTCTAGGGGGCAGATTAAACCCACTAAATATGTTCCAGGTATATTCAGTCACCTTTTTCAATGAACTCACACCAGCCCTGGTCATGCTCCTTATCTGGGTACTTTCCCTGGGCATTCATACTTCTGAGTTTTTCTGGGAAAGCATTTTCATAAACCAAATTTTACATTTACATGCCCAAGTCTTTGTGCTGGAAGATCTCACCCAGCTACCCAATCGGGGAGTAGAGACAAACTCTTTTTGGGGCTCAACTGGCCAATCACAACTCACCACTGCTACAGTCACAAATATTAACTTTTCACATGCGTGACATTCCCCACTGTGCAGAGGGACATTAGTCACTCAGGCCATTTAGCCTCCCGCTGTAGCAGCTATTTAGAGAAGAGAGGGGCCCAGGCCACAAAATATGGATCCAGATTTTGCACCCCACAGGGTTTGGGGGGTGTGTGTCCAGATCGAGGGTTTTGACTCAGCCCTTTACAGGCATAGGGGCCAACTACAGAATTCAGATCCTGAATTCTCTCCCTCCCCCCCCCACCACTCCAATGTTTGGGACAGGGAAGGGACTGGAGCTTGGGTTTAGTTTGAACCCACACCTAATCTGAAGGAAGACTGCCTAGAAATGATTTTCCAATCACTACAGCTACATTTCAAAGAGCAAATGGCTATTTTTAAAGTCCCTTACACGTAATGAATATCAACCGTTAACAGCACAGCTGCAATCTCAAGTGTCTGATGACCTGGTGTGAGACACAGGAAAGGCAGCTCAATATATAACACTTAGCACCTATATGGTGCTTCCTGTCTTCACAGCAGTGCTGTACAAATGTTAACAGGTTTATCTTCTTAGCACCACCGAGAGACAGGTAAGTACATTGTACCCCCATCCTACGGCTGAAGTGACTTGTCCCAGGTCACAGAGTCAAGTCAGTGTCCGGATTTCCTGACTCCCATTCCTGTGCTCAGATCACTAGGGCCACAGAGTTGCTGGAAGGGAAGTTCTGTTATCGGTGCAGAAAACGTGCCTGTTGTGTGTGTTAAACCACTGTAACAGTGCAGCAATCAAAGCCACTGTCCTACAGGAGCTTCCAGCACAAATCCAGTTGTAACCAGTTGCTTGCCACTGACACCCCTCCTTTCCTCTCTGCCTTCTTGCTTGTAAATGGTGGTGTGTGTGTGGGGGTTGGGGGGGAAACAGAGCAAAAGGAAATAGGGCATCAGATAAGAAAAAGGAAGCAGAAGTGTTTGGGTGTCACCGACAGAGCAGGTTGGCAGCCTTCAGAGGGAAGGTTGCGGTCCCCGGGGGAAGCAGAGTTTGCTTTTCGGTGCCAGTTAGAGAAAAGACGTGAAACAGATTAAGGGCGAAAGGGGCAGTTATGGGGATGTTGCAGGTGCCCTTCACCAGGGTGATTCTTCTCCTTCCAGGTAAGAGGTTTTTATTCCTCCATTCACACCAGAACCACTTTGCCCTGAAGGTCAGTCACCCCACTCTGGAGTTTCTCTCCCTCTCCTGCTCTCTCTCAGCTTCAGAGCGGAGAGAACCTAAGGGGGCATCTCCCACTCTCCAGCTGGGGATTTACACTGTGTAACTCAGCAGTAATGCTGCTAGGCGTCATGTGGATAACCCCGCAGGAGCCAAATGAGACCTGAGAAATGCTTATTAGCAGGGCTTGGGGAGTACTTGCTTGGCATCCTGCCATCCAGTGCATTGCATGGAACGGCATGCATTCAGCATGACACAGAGAATGAGGCCCTTGGGACCATACTGCTGATTTGGGGCTGCTGTCCCATATCCCTCACTCCTGGGGGTGTGGAGCAGGGTGTTGAGATTTGCTTTGTTTTTCAGGCTATTTCTCTGCCCTGGCTGCCCCGGCACTGACTGCCCCTAGGGAGGTGAGCGGGCCCCCGGGGGGCACGGTGTCCGTACCGTGTCAGTACAGTAAAACAGCTCAGGGATCTCAGAAATACTGGTGCAGAGGAGCACAGTGGAACAGCTGCTCCAAAGTTGTTGAGACTGAAAAGTCAGAGGTCAAGGTGAAACAGGGCAGAGTCTCCATCACAGACAATCACACCACGCGCACATTCACTGTGACCATGGAGAACCTGACTCTGGAAGATGCTGGGATCTACTGGTGTGGAATAAATATAAAAGGTGGAGGTGATCCTTATTTCCTTGTTAACGTGACTGTTCTCCCAGGTGAGTCTCTGCTCTGATCTACTGATGGCAACCTGGAGCCAGGGTTGGATTAACTGTCCTGTGGGCCCGGGGCTATGAGATTTTGTGGGGCCCCTGTATACAAGTCTTTTTCCTAATTTAAAACAAAATCACAATTATGGCATTGAGGCTATTAATGCTATACTCAACTTGCCTTTTAGTTAACATAAAGCTGTTCTGTGGTTACATTTCAGTCTTAAAACATGTAGAATATAGTTAATTTAAGTCAAAATAGCTTATTTCTTACCTTAGAACAGGTGTTATATTAGTTTCTTTCTGGGAGGGAGTTGGGGTGCAGGAGGGGGCTCCCGGCTGGGGCAGAGTGTTGGGGTACAGGAGAGGGTGAGGGGTGCAGGCTCTGGGAGGGAGTTTGGTGCAAGAGGGAGTTCTGACCTGGGGCAGGGGGTTGGGGTGCAGGGTCTGGGCAGGGGGTTGGGTGCAGGAGGGGGTTCTGACCTGGGGCAGGGGGTTGAGGTGCAAAGGCGCCAACTTTCCCCAGCGCCGCTGGGTGCGTGCGCCCCCCCACCCTGACTCCACTCTTTCCCTACCCCTGCCCCGCCCCCATTCCAACCCCTTCCCCAAATCCCTGCCCTGGCCCCGCCTCTTCCCCAAGCGCTCCACGTTCTCCCTCCTCCCGCCCAGCCACGCAAAACATCTGTTTTGCGGCACAAGCGTTGGGAGCTAGGGGGAAAAAGCGGGCACGCGGTGTGCTCAGGGGAGAAGGCGGAGCGGAGGCACAGGTGAGCTGGGCAGGGGGACGGGAAGCTGCCAGTGGGTACAGAGCACCCACCAATTTTTCCCTGTGGGTGCTCCAGCCCTGGAGCACCTATGTTGAGGTGCAGGAGAGGATGCGAGGTGTAGGCTCCAGCTGGGAGGTGCTTACCACAGGCAACTCCCGGCCAGTGGCGCAGCAGGGCTCAGGCAGGCTGCCTGCCTGCATGCCGTGGCTCCACACCACTCCCGGAAGCAGCCCGCTGCTGACATGGGGAGGGGAGCAGTGTCTCCATGTGCGCTGCCCACAGGCGCCCAGTTCCCGGCCAATGGGAGCTGCGGGGACTGTGCTGACGGCAGGGGCAGCGCACGGAGCCGCCCCCCTGCCCGGGGCTGCAGAGACATGGCAGTAGCTGGCCGCTTCCGGGAGCGGCGTGGGGCCACGGCATGTAGGCAGCCTGCCTGAGCCCTGCTGTACCGTGCCCCCCCTTAGTCCAGGGCTGCAGCCCCTAAACCCCTGCGTTTATCTGGCCCTGCCTGGAGCCCAAGCGTCTGATTGGGGAGTGCTGGTGAGAGACCCAGACAGTTATTTATAGCCCCAGCTTATCCCCAGGATAGCATCCTGGTCACTCAACCCTAGTGTACAGCAATAGGCTCATGCTTGGGTCTGTGGGGCTGGAGAAGTGAGTGGATGTGGGCGCCCAGGGGTTAGCGTATGTATGTGTGTGTGCAGGCTACACCTCCTACTCCCAGGCAGCCGCATGCACCCACTCCTGCAGCAACTCTTAGTGCTTGGAGGGCCAGCAGGGTGCTGCTGGAGGCCTCCAAGCACCAAAGCAGGGGAGTGGCGGCAGTGGGCTGCAGGACCCTCCCCGTCACACTAAAGGCAATCCTGTCGCTGCTGACCTGAGGCTGGGGGCAGAGGGACCGGGGGGCAGGGACTCCTGGCAATGCAGCCAACTATAGGGGAGACTCCCCTACTGAATGCAGGACTGGGATGGGGAGAAGCAGCAGGCTGGGGGGGGGGGAGGGAGAGGGACAGCAGGAAGGAGCACGGAGTGGGGTGTGCTCTACCTTGGGTACCTTGCTCTGCCTGCCTTGCTCCATTGCAGCAGGTCTCTTGGATGGGGCTGGACCCCCAGGCAATAGGGGCTAGTCCCTGAGGGCTCCCCGCTCTGGGCTGGCTCAGGAAACCAAGGTGCACTGGGAACAGAAGAGCCAGCGGAACCTGCTCCTTGTGTCGACATTTCCTTGGGAAGATCAACTAAAGGGAACAACTCTGTGTGTCGAAATTTAAAATCCACACAGTGGCCTGTGTGAGAGCTGTTATAGGACAGGATCAGTGTGCGGAACGGGGGTGTCTGGGCATCTGGTCCTGGAGCAAGGGGGGAAAAGCCGGTACGATCTCTGGGGAAATCCCTAGAGGGGCTCGGGTTTGAATCTCTCCCTTGCTACGGGGGTAAATATTTGACCAATAACTATTATAGGAAATCGAATGGCCCCCGCAGGGCGAGCGCGTTAAATCTGGAGACTGCAGGCAGTGCTTAGAGTACAGAATAGAGGGAGATTAGTGCTGCTCTGAGGCCCTGATCCAAAGCCCATTGAAGTCTATGGATACACTCCCACTAACGTCAGTGCGCATAAGGCCCTCAGTGCAACCTTAACTATGGAGCTCTGTGATATGTACCCCAGGCGAAATCCCCCCTCCCTCTCCAGTCCCCACCCTGAGATCAGCCCACTCCCAGGCAGCGCACCCCAGCTCCTTGCCTTTGCTCCATTACAGAGCCCGGCTTTCCACCGATGGACAGCAGCTCCCATCGCCTGGTTGTGTGGTCGCTTGTGTGCGGTGGGTTTGCTAGGGACAGTCTAGATCCCAGCGGTCACCTCGCTGCGTGCCAGCTAACACTCATGCTCTGCGCTAATCCTCCCCCTCGGTGGCAGGCTCAGGTGAGAGGCCAAGAACTGGACTGGCCCTAGAGCCTGATGGCACCATTCACGCCTAGGAGTGCAGTGGGGAAGCTGCTCTGCCCGTGCTGGGTGAAGAGAGGGCTCCAGCATGGGCGGGCTGGCATCTGTCACTTGAAATTGCAAGACTAAGAACACAGCAGCCTATGGAGAAGTGACATTTTGAAGACCTCAGAGCATTGTTTTCTGGCTTCTATTTTCAGCTCTTTCCACTGCAGTGATGGTAACCACTGGATCTCTCGCCCCAGTAATAGGCACAACAAACACAGCTGAGCACCCCAAAAGGTAAGGGCAGTTAAGTACATGTAAAAGCAGAGTCTCAGCTGGAGTGTTCAGGGCTGAATTTCCAGGCCCAGCTTTGTATGCGGGTTGCGGTCTGCAGCGGCAGAGACGAGCACATCCTGGTTTATGTATGCAGACTAAGGGGCTGGGCATCTCACTGCCTGATTTGTGCCTGCAGATGGGGATTTTGCACATCCAAAAACAGAGAAGTTCCCACCCAGCTGCTGGTGTTCGTGATCATGCACTGCCAGGCTGATGCACCGTTTCCCTGCACCATACCTTCATTTATACAGGCACAGAGGGAGTGCAAGTCCACTGCAAGAGTCAGTGGGAGAACTGCACAAGTTCTGCAGGCTCAGGCCTGCTGTCAAAGCTACAAAGCACAGAGAGGTAGAGACACTGCCCCAGAGTCACACAGCGTGAACCGTTGGGACAGAGCTAGGACCAGATCTCGGGTGTTCCTGGACTCCGGTTCTGTGGTCAGGCCACTAGCCCAGGCTTCCTCAAGACCTTTACTCTGCCTAACTGCACTCTCTCCATTGGTTTCCCTAATAACGCTTTACAATTCAGTATACAAGAAGCTGCCATCTTATTTCTCACCCTTCCCGAGAGAGATCGAGACCTTCACCCAAAGAGCACCCTCGTCCTCCTTCAATCTTCACCGCTCCAAACAGCTATGGCTGCAGCAACCAAATCCTCTCTTTTCTCTTGGCCTGCTGTTCCCTCTTATTCATATGGCCAGCCCTGTCTGCTCTGCCTTCCCTCCCCACCAACTGTAGCTTCCGCTGGTAAATTAAATCTTCCCCTTGATCTGGTGACTTAGCCAACTCACTTACCCTAATTAGATCACATCTCCCTCGGCACACGTGCTAATAAATAAAATTGTCTTGGTTTCTGAGCTTCTAGCATTTTGTACAGGACCCATTTAGCGTTTCCCTGCTCCGGCCCTGTCTCTCTTTTGACCCCTAACACTAGCTGGTCAAAGATCTCCCTTTAGCTGTCCTGTGTCTCAGTAGAAACTGAGGGCTGGTCTACAGACAAAGCCAGGATTTAAACCAAAACTTAGATCAGCCTAGCAATGTTGTTCTGGGGTGTGAAAAATTCATACTGCTGAGAGATGTCGTTAAGCCAACCAAAGCCCCAGTATACACAGCCCTAGGTCAATGGAAGAATTCGGCTACCTAGATGCTGCCGCTTGCGGGGGTGGATTTACTACAACGATGGACAAACCCCTTCTCTCACTGTAGCAAGTGGCTACACGATAGCGCAGCAGCAACGCTGTCACTTTGCTGCCATAGTGTAGACAAGCCCCAAAAGGGGTCATTTTTATACCAATTCAGTTAAACTGGTGTAACTTTGTGTGTAGACACTTACATGGATTTAAAGCTGGATTATAGCAGTTCAGCAGGGTCAGTAAATGATCAGCTCCACGCGAAACCCCCTATAACCTGTTTGAAAAACTGATACAGGAGCCTTCACGCAGGGCTGTGCAATAGTTTAACAGCATCAGTTTTTGAATTAATTTAAGTTAAACTAGTGCAACTTCTGCATGCAGATAACCCCCGCCTGGAGAATTCTGTGCCTTGTTCCCGGGGGTTGCAGCACTGCTTTAGCCATGCTTTGGGGAGGTCTCTTTCTACAGAAGGTGGTGGAAAGGCTTCTGCATTTATGAGAGGAGACCGTCACTTGTTTCAGCTTGGACAAAATGCCTAGTAGACTGAATTTGGACAGTATCAAGTCTGGCTCTGGGCGGTTCTCTAGAGCTGGGTTGGTTGGAATGGGCATGGGTATTCTCTGGGTCAGGGAGTGGCTGTAGGTCCCTGGGGATGGGGGTGAACAATGCCTATAGCAGGGAGGGTCATGGCATAGGGGAGGGGCCGAGAAGCAGCATGGCCTGTAAGTGGCTGCTGGCGGGCCACTATACAGAGGTGCATTTGCATGAATACCTAGGGCAGGGCTGGCTTTGTTCCCTGACTGAATTTCCACCATCCCCGTCCCAGACGGGCAGGCAGTGTCAGAGATGTGTTTTTCCTTTGTCTTCCAGTTCTCCTTTCACCAGCGCTATGTTCCTGCTGCCAATGCTCCTGCTGGTTTTACTTATATTACTGAGCGGAGCCATGCTTCTGGCCAGAAGAATGATGCTGAAGAGGAAAAAGGGTGAGAGGCTGAAGGTGGGGGCTGCCCCGGATTCATCTGGCTCTGCCCTCCTTTCATTTCTTTTCCTCTCTCATTTCTCTCCCCCGCCCCACGATCACTTACTCCCTTGGCCAATACAGCTTTGTGAAGCCCTGATCCTAACCGCTTAGTGTGCCAAAAATCCCATGCAAATCAGGAGTTTTGCCTCAGTAACCAGTTCTCCCATTTCTATGTTCGGTGCAAGGGAAGTGGTTTAACAGAACTGCACTTATTTACACAGCAGCCAGACTGTGCTAAGCACGATAGACACACCTAGTGAGACACGGTTCCTAGAGGGAAGGGCTTTCAATCAAAGCAGGCAACACCCAGGCCCAGCAGCGGGGATGGGAGTCAGAGTCCCGTTACGCCGTTTCTCTTATTTGATTTTGGTCTAAATCTCTCTCCCCGTGGCTGAACTTGGCAGGAAGGAAGGGGGGTATAGCTAAGGGACTGGAGACATCTGGGTTCTGGCCTTTGTGCAACATGGGAATGATAATTCTTCCCAAGGCTTAGTCCATTAACATATGGGAGGCACTTAGTTACTACAGTGATAAGCACCATAGAAAATCCTATGCAAGAACCCCCTTCCTCTTCTCTGATTGCACAAACCCCCTCTCACCCCAGTCTCTGCCACCCACTCCAGGGTCAGTCCTACAAGGTGGTGAGCAGCCAGCCCCATTTTCCAGTATGTGCATAGTTCCAGCCCAGTCAAGGAGCCTACTCACACGCTTGCAGTACAGAAGCATGGGCTAAATGCCTTGTCCGATTGTGCAAGAGTGCTCAGCCCCCTGCAGGATCAAGCCCTATTTTCTTATTTTACACACACACACACACACACACACACTTTCTTTTCTCCTGCTAAGGTTGCATCACCCCTGAGCCAGTGATTAGTCAGAGCTGAGGTTTATTCCAGTTTCAAAAATAGCAACAGCCAAGTTACCCAAGGCACCTGCTCAGCCACAAGTGGAGCAATGAGCTAGAGCCTGAGGAAGCTGGGTTGCTGTGTGTGTGTGGGGGGGGGAGCAGGGGGGTACTAATACTATTGGACAGACAATGTAATGCACCCCGGAAAGAGACGAGGCTAACAGCTTCCCCACTGTCATGGCTAGGGGGCTAAACCGCCACTCCCAAGGGGATATATGCAACTGACTACACCCCACACACCTGACTTTGCCCTGCTGGTACCGAGATTTCCAGTGAGCAAACGGCAGCAGGCCACCTGCTTCTGCCAGGGAAGTTCCACTTGTCTAGAATTGCACCCATATGCCGGAGGAGGAGATCGGTCCCAGTAGCTTTGTCTACAGTTCATCTATGTTTATGGGCCATGGCTAGTCCATGCCCAATGCCACAGAGGGCCTCAGAATTCCTTCCTATTCACTGTCTCTCTCTGCTCTTTGCCCACTGGACACGGTGCAAAGGCAACTCCAGAGAATCACAGCGGGAGCAGCAATTGCCGTCCACTTGTGGGTGGGGGATCCGGGTATAAAACTGGTGCTTATTACACTGGTGAAGGCTGTGGAAGTGAAATAGACTCAGGAGCTCCAGGGATGCAGGTGGTGGTTCTGGCCTGTAGGGTGCACTTCAGCCACAGGAGTGGTGGAACCAGAGAAGATCCATTTCTCCTCTCTTGAAAGGCAGGAGGGTCTAGCTGCATCTGTGAGTTCCTCATCAATTCTAGGTACATGCCCTGTGCCTCATCCCAGCTATCTCAAGTCACTTCCAAAAAGTCTGTGCCAGGGCCGGCCTGCACCTGCCTAGTCTAAGCGCTAACAACTCAGAACTAAGCCCTGGAGAAAGAGACCAACATTGCGATGTTGGTGGCAAAGGGCTGAACGCTTCAGCATCTTACCCCTCCTTATGTAGGATCTGGAGGCGCCCACGTCCCTCCCCCACTCCCAGCCTCGTTACTCCTCCTCTGTAGATCTTCTCTTTCAACACGGTTACGTCAGTGTAATAAGTGTCTGTTACCTTTCAGCTGCTGGAGCTGTTGGGCCTAGCGCAGCAGTGAATGAGGTAAGAGAGGGGAATGGGTGCTGCGCTCTGATACAGTGGGTTAATTCTCCAGCCTCAATGGGGGGAGCTTTAACAGCTTAGTTCAAGTCCGAGTAAGAGGGCACGGAGCTCAGTTATTCAACCCCTCAGAGCTAAAATAAGAGGAGAATCCCGAGTGAGGGACAGGCTGAATCCCTGGGAAGAATGCTGGTCATTGTAGGGGGGTCCCAGCCAGGATTTGCCCATGTCAGAAGAGAGGTGGTCCGGTGCATAAAGCATTGGATGGAGTCAGGATTCCTGGATCTGCCAATAGCTCATTGCGGGACATTGGGTAAGTCACCATCTCTCTGTGCCTCTGTTTCTAGTCTGTAAAATGGGAAGAACACTAGTTCCCTTTGCAAAGGGCTTGAAGATCCCTGGCTGAAAAGCACTGTCAGCACTAGGAGCACAGCTGGAGAAAGCAGTGAGACTGTTGCTAGGTGTTCGGGGAATGGGGCGTTAGAGGTGAGGGAAAACTAGGGGACAGATAACAGAGGTAGGCTGTACGCTTGGATCACCCCAGAAGTAGCAGTGACCTGGAGAGTGCCTGGTGCTGCTGCAGGGGCAGAGAGCTCCAGCTCAGAAACCCCAACCCAGATTGTGTTTATTTTTTTTCAGGCTGTTGCCAGCACCGAAAGTGATGTTTCCTATGCAGCTGTGAAACCTAAATCTAGAAAATCCATCACCACAGCCCCATCACCCCACTCCGCTCAGGCCGAGCCCAGTCCAGAAGGGGTGGAATATTCTGCTGTAGTAAGGATTCTGGCGTTCAGTTCTAAAATGCTAAGATTCTTCTGATCCTTTTATTCTCTTTAAATCTTGCTTTTGGGTTTTACAGGGCAAGCCGAGTCTTGCACAAGGGCACTTACATGCAATATTCACATCTCTTCTAGCACATTACAAAAGAGGTTGCTTTGCAAATGAACCCTGTTGCTTTCATTAGCAGTGAGGTGTTCTGGAAAGGCTCTAGAAAAGTTCTAGCAAATTTCTCGAAGCTTTAGAAAAGCTCAGTCTCCATCAGGTCTGGAAAAGTTTGGACCACCTCACATTCAGAACGGCAGCTGAAGTCAGAGCATAGAGGGACAATTTTGCTTTGCACATGTAACGCCGACAGACCCCGGTCACCAGTGGGTGGGATCGAACCTCGGGCCTCTGGAGCTTAGTGCAGGAGCCTCTACCACATGAGCTAAAAGCTGCTAGCTAAGGCTGTAGAGCAGACTCATTTTATCTCCTCTCTCTAAGTGGTCTCGGTGCCCCTAGATGGGACAGAACACCACACCCAGAAGGTGTGTGGGTTACACACACAAAATTTGCCTACCTATGGATAACTGCATGTACCGGCTGGGAAACTGCAGGCCCAATTTCAGCACATGCAGGCAGGATGCAAACAGTGCATGCACGAAGAGTCAGCTGCAAATTTAAATGCTCCAGTCTCATGTGACGTGCCCAGCAGTAATGTCATGTGCTCATCCACCGGACTGGAGTTCTACCCACTGCCGTGCAGTGCCAGTTTTTAGAAAGAAACTATTCAAGGTGCAGAAAGATCTGCACACACAAGCCAGGGATATGCGTGAGTATTAGGAAAAGTGTGCTGTGCATCATCACTCATCTGAGCAATTGAGTTACTTAGACAAAGCAGTCGGGGTATGAGGGCTTCTGTTCCTCAACATCTGTTCTAGTTACAGTCTCTCTCCCTTCATTTCTTTTCTCTGATCAAGGCTGTTTTAAAATTTCAGGCTCCAGGAATGACAGATATTTCTTACGCCACAGTGAAATATCCAATCCTGGATGAGCAGGCAATCTACATCAATGTGGACAGGTCATCCAGTCAACCCCCCTTGAGCAGCCCTCTGGAACAAACAGAGTACTGCGCAGTGAAAAAGAAATAGGCTCCCTCTGGAACATTTCCTTTCCCTCCTTCCCTGTTGTTGTGCGGAAGTGCAAAGATTGCAACCTCTTGGAGCAGTGTTGCAAGGAATGAAATCGTCTGAGATGAGCTGGTGCTGGTGGAGTCCCAGCCAGATTAAGCAAATGCCAGGTGGAACTATATTGAACTGGGAGACTGTCTCACCAGACTGGTCTGATGCAGCTGAACACGGTGTGGTGTAATGGGAGGAATGCTGTGGAAAGGCAGAAAAATCAGTTACTCGGTCTTATTTATTTACATGTACGTCAGTCCTCACTTGTACTCTCTCATGCAAGTTAAAGCCGGAGGGGCGGGGTGGGGAGGGAAATGTGATTCTGCAGAGATGGGTCCAAGTCACGTAGTTCTGCTCCAGTTTCCTAGATTTGAGGGGAGAGAGGTTGGGTTTGGGATCCATCCCGACCCAGGGAGCATGGTGGTGGTAACATCTTCATCCCCCAGCTCTCCTGAGACAGTGAAGCGGCTGCATGCATCATCTCTTCTCTCTCTGAGCAGCTAACACCATGGGAGCAGGACCACAGAAAGACAAGGGGTGGAGTGCGGCTGGCATTTGGGGACAATGCTTAGACAGGAGCATTCCCCAAAAAGGCAGCCGGGACTTTGATTGGAATGGGCCCCCAATGGAAGAAAACGCCAGGGAGGAAAGGAGAAAGACCTCAGACACCAAGCAGCATGGAATGGCACCAGCTTGGTGGAGACGATGCAACATTGTTAGGATATTAAGTTGGATATTAGGAAAAGCTTTTTCACTAGGAGGGCGGTGAAGCACTGGAATGGGTTACCTAGGGAGGTGGTGGAATCTCCTTCCTTAGAGGTTTTTAAGGTCAGGCTTGACAAAGCCCTGGCTGGGATGATTTAGTTGGGGATTGGTCCTGCTTTGAGCAGGAGGTTGGACTAGATGACCTCCTGAGGTCCCGTCCAACCCTGATATTCTATGATTGTCGGGGGATAGGCCTTGGAGAGAGAAGACAACAGCCCTGGGAGGGGAGGGTTGGCAAGACCAGACCAGACAGACAGGAAGTGGGAGGGAGTTTTGCATCATTTCATTGCACACGTTATGTTGCTAAATGGGCAGTGACCTTTCAATGGGGAGCTCCTGATAACACAGCACCATGGGACAGGGAAAGACTGACATTTGCCAGTGCAGAATACATTCCTTTTCAATAGGGTTGGCCGGCAGCACTAATGCATGTTCTAGTTCACGGCCATGATATCACTAAGAGCTGGTAAATAATTCATAGCTAGGAAGCTGGAGGACTTATTGATCAGTCTCCAGCCTTTGCCTGTAGTTCCCACAGCCAAGCTCCCAGGTCAAGGAGGCTTCTGACTTGCACTTACAGAACAGAAGTCAGTAGCATCTCTAGTGTCTCTCTTGAGTAGGACGACCCAGGTCCAGGCTCTATTGTGTGATGCCTTCAGGCAGCCAGTCTTGCTCTATCTGCTTTAACCACACACAAGTTATCGGGCTTAATATAGGGGTAACTGGGTGACATTTGATGGCCTGCGATACACACGAGATCAGACCTGATGATCTAATGGTCCCTTCTGACTTTAAACTCTGTGGCTTTCAGCCTTTGGAGATGTCACAGGACCTGCCCCTATGCCCATTGAAGTGAAGGGGAGTTTTTCCCATTGACACCAAAGGGCTTTGGATCAGGCTCATGCAAAGCAGCCTGGCAGACTAGAAACAAATCACGTTATTTTAACTCTTTGAAGACTGTGATGAAGATACTGTAGCCATGGGCATATTGCTATTGAACACAGAAGGTGGGACTGCAGCCTCGGGATAGCGGCAAAGCCTCGTGCTTTAAGACCTATCACGTCCTATAAGGCCCATAACCTCAGCCTCAGTTGTGTCAGACACAGAGGAAGCTGAAGAAGCCAGTGATGTCAGACTTTTAGTGTCACCTACAGTCAGGGGCCTGGCGTTCCAGGGGGTGGCCCAGACTCCGCTGGCTGGGGATGGTGGGTGGGTTACAGCAGCCAAGTAGAGTGTGGAATTCACTCACTGAAGATACAGAAACTTCCAAGTTTGGTAATAAGTTTAATGCTCATGAAAGGAGGGTCAAGGGGTGGAAGCAGCTGCATGGTCCAAGGCCAGGAGACCAAACTGGGAGTCAGAAACCGTAAGTTCTGTTCCCAGCTCTGCAACTGACCCCGTCTGATCTTGAACAAACCCCTCAGCTCTTTGTGCCTCAGTTTCCCCCATTGTGAAGCATGGGGGATGGCTATGAACTGAGAGATCTATGGAGGAAGAGTGGTATATACCAAAAAAAGTGTTCAGTAGGGTTATTTACAGGGGTGGGTTGAGCCAGGCACAGAGAGCACGTGCTGTGCTACAGCTCTGCCAACAAAGCACCCCCAATACTGACCCACAGCCACGTCCTGAGCTCTCCCCCAGTTCTGCCAATGGTCTCACCCTTCTTCAGTGCCTGCCTTACTAATCCTGGGCTTCTCTACAGCAAAGGCTGCCAGCTGATGAATTACACCAAGCCTAGTGTGGTTCTTCTGCGAGGTGCCAGTCCCTCTCTGTGCACAAGCTCAGACCCTTCATTCAGGAACTCGGGGAGGGTCTCTAAGGCAGACCCTGTAATGAACCAATGCACAAACACCTCAGCTCTGAGCGCTCACTCCTGCCTCATTGGTTTTGTCATCTAGACAGACATTCGGAGACGCAGGAGGGCTGACAGGAGTCAGATCAGAGTTGGACTAGTTTAGAGCCAAGGTACTTTGTCTCCACCCCTAAGCTAAAGTTCATTAACAGGAGACTGTGTGCATGTACTTACAGGGTGGTGGGGAACAGTGTTTAAAGAAACAAGAAACTAGAGAAATGCCCTGCTGAGGGAAACTCAGACCACTTCCTCATGTCAGTCTCAAACCAGGAGATGCATGTGACAGATATATTGCAGGAAGTTGCCCTCTTTGGGGGACCATATTGTACTAAATGTATGAATGGTTTATGTATCTGCGTGGGCCAAGAACTGCATGCAGTCTGGGGTGAGGGGGAGGGTTACCACAGCTCCTCCACAAAGTGAAGGCAGCAGGGGAGGAGTAAGGCAGATCAGGCAGGGTATAAAAAACACTTCCCGAGAAGCAGGGCCGGCTCCAGGCACCAGCCCTCCAAGCATGTGCTTGGGGCGGCACCTGAAGGGGGGCGGCGCTCACCCGGGGAGAGCAGGGCTGCGGGCGGGCTCGCCGCCCTCCCCCCGGCGCTCCAGCCGGCCAGGGAGAGCAGGGCCGCCCTCCCCCCAGCGCTCCGGCCGGCCGGGGAGAGCGGGGCTGCGGCCGGGCTCGGTGCCCTCCCCTGCTGTGCTCCCCACCGGGGGGGGGGGGGGGAGGCTGTTTTGCCCGGGGCAGCAAAAAAGCCAGAGCCGGCCCTGCCGAGAAGTACCCTGGGCTGGGGAATGGTATTCTGGTTCAGATTGGATTCTTCAGAGACCAACCATAAGAAAGGACTTTGGGGATAGTTAATCCACTTTTAAACTGACTCAGGGCCTTCCTTCCTTCCTTCCGCTTCATGATCTAAAAAGACTGATACGAACTTGTAACCACAGGGAAAAAGCCCAGTTGCAGGGTTTGGAAGGACTGGCATTTTCTAGAGCCCAGTGTTAGGGTTGGAGGGGGCGTGACTGCTGGTCAGTTTAACATCACGCATCTTTTGTTGTTTTAGATCCTTTCTCTGTAATGCTTTTATCTTAAGAATGAAGGTGCTTGCTTAGCAGGAGCGATGTGGGGACGTGTAATTGTCAATACACTGGTCATGGCTCTTGGAGAAAGCAAACCACAGGCATTTGCCTTTGAGGCAGCCCCAGCAGGCCAGTCTATTACAATGTAGATCAGGGAGCTGTGCAGCCTTAGAAACCCTGGTCAGAAGGGAGCGAGATGCAGGTCTCCACCCAGGAGAGGGGATGGCTGGGAGCTGGAAATCTTTCATGGGTGTCTTCTAGGGACCACAGAGGGGGGGAAAAATACAGTTACCCTGAAACTGTGACAATGTGTATTTGCAATTATGCAAGAAGCACGGCAGCCTTTGTACCAGAAGCATCTGATGCAACCGGGTTGGCTAAGTGAAAGTCTGCTGCTGCTCTGGGACCGGCTCTTCTCTACCTGGGGTAACTGAATGAATGTGTCAGAGCTGCATGAGATGGGGCTGGGACCTTCCTTATTAATAGGACAGTAGCACTCAGAGGGCCCCAAACAAGATTGGGTCCCCACTGTGCAGGGCTGTATAAACACATAGGACAACCCCTGGTCACTGCACCACACATCTCCTAGTCTAAGGAGAGGAAAGGGATACAACATAACGGGGGGGGGGGGGGGGGAAAGAGTGAAATTTACCCCTGTGCGGAGAGCTCACGTAGTCTTAGGCACCAGTTGTGTCTAGCTGAAGCCCTGGAAATACAGCTGAAGTGGAATGTAGGTGGTGCTAGGCCTTACAGGCAGGCTGTCTGCACAGGGCTGCATTTCACACACAGGGATCAGGGAGCTAGAGGTATGTACCTTGTTAGCTCCAGCTATTTTCTCCCTCCCAGGCAGGCACCTGAGAAACCCCAATGAACTCACCGATGGTTGGACACCACACCCATGTAGAGTTACTTTCCTGCAGGAGCAGGGCATTGGGGGCTAGTTGAGAGTTGCCGTCAGCAGCTCTCATGTCTGTTTCTTTTTACTTTACCCTGTTTTCTAGTCACAAAACTAAGCCTCCACCCCCCCCCCAGCAAGCAGCAGCTGCCACCACCTCCCTGGGCTACCGACTCACTGCACCCAGAGGGGTGGAGTTTCCCTTCGAGGGGCAGAGACGTGTGGCTCGCTAGATGGAGAGCATCATGGGAAGCAAGTGCAGACCATATTCTAACTGCACCTGCAGGTTTCCCAGACAGGCAGGCCCCAGGAGGGAAGCATCACTCCAATATTGTCATCCCCGTATTAATGGGGGGGGGGGGGGGGAAAAGATAAATGTTTGGG